AGGCAACAGTAATTCATGTCTATTTGGACCAAAATCTCTGAGGAATGTTTTTCTAACCTTGTTGAACCTATGCCAAAAAGAAATAAGGCAGTTCGGAAGGCAAAAGGGGGTTCATCCTGGTACTAGCAAAGTGAACTCAATAAAGTGGCTGGTGAGTGTATGTGTATATATATATAATAATAATTATTATTATTATAATACAGGATTCATATAGCACCAACAGTTTGCTCAGCGCTTTACAATATTATATGTATATATACATATATATACATACACTGCTCAAAAAAATTAAAGGAACACTTTTTAATCAGAGTATAGCATCAAGTCAATTAAACGCCTTGGATATTGACCTGGTCAGTTAAGTAGCAGAGGGGATTTTGAATCAGCTTCAGCTGCTTTGTTGTTAATGAAATTAGGAACAGCAATGGTTTTACAGGTGCAGGCCACTGACATTTTTTTCCCTACTCATCTTTTCTGACTGTTTTTCACTAGTTTTGCATTTGGCTGGGGTCAGTGTCACTACTGGTAGCATGAGGTGATACCTGAACCCTACAGAGGTTGCACAGGTAGTCCAACTCCTCCCGGATGGCACTTCAATATGTGCCATTGCCAGAAGGTTTGCTGTGTCTCCCAGCACAGTCTCAAGAGCATGGAGGAGATTCCAGGAGACAGGCAGTCACTCTAGGAGAGCTGGACAGGGCAGTAGAAGGTCCTTAACACATCAGCAGGACCGGTATCTGCTCCTTTGTGCAAGGAGGAACAGGATGAGCACTGCCAGAGTCCTACAAAATGACCTCCAGCAGGCCACTGGTGTGAAAGTCCCTGACCAAACAATCAGAAGCAGACTTCATGAGGGTGACCTGAGGGCCCGACGTCCTCTAGTGGGCCCTGTGCTCACTGCCCGCCACCATGGAGCTCGATTGGCATTTCCCATTGAACACCAGAATTGGCAGATCCGCCACTTGCACCCTGTGCTTTTCACAGATGAGAGCAGGTTCACCCTGAGCACATGTGACAGATGTGAAAGATTCTGGAGAACCCATGGAGAATGTTATGCTGCCCATAGCATTGTTCAGCATGACTGTTTTGGAGGTGGGTCAGTGATTGTCTGGGGAGGCATATCCACGGAGGGACACACAGACCTCTACAGGCTAGACCAGTGGTCGGCAAGCCACGGCTCGCGAGCCACATGCGGCTCTTTACACACATTAATGCGGCTCACATTAATGTGGCTCTTCTGTGTGCCGGGCACCTGCTCCCCTCCCTCCTCTCGGGCGGCCGCCCCAAAAGTCAGGACTTTGCAGCTAGCCCAGCAATGGGCAAACTACGGCCCGCATACGGCCTGGCGGACCTTTTAATCCGGCCCGCGGAGCGTGGCAAACATTGGCTGTCAGGATGTAGGCGGGGCAGCGTGACAAACTCCTCTCCTCTCACAGTCCGCCCTGAAGACCGGAACGGCGCGGGAACACGGCGAGAGGAACGCGCGGAGCAAAGGTAAGTGAATTGACACAATATGGGGAATGAATTACTATAGGGGGGATGAATACTATAGGGGGGGACTATGGGGGATGAATTACTATAGGGGGGATGAATTACTATGGGGGATGGGGGATGATTTACTATGGGGGATGAATTACTATATGGGGGATGAATTACTATGGGGGAATTGCTATGGGGATGAATTACTATATGGGGGATTAATTACTATGGGGATGAATTTACTATGGGGGATGAATTACTATAGGGGGGATGAATTACTATGGGGGATGGGGGGATGAATTACTATGGGGGATGAATTACTATGGGGGATGAATTACTATGGGGGATGAATTACTATGGGGGGATGAATTACTATGGGGGATAAATTACTATATGGGGGATGAATTACTATGGGGGATTACTATATAGGTGGGGATGAATTACTATAGGGGGGATGAATTACTATGGGGGGGGATGAATTACTATGGGGGGGGATGAATTACTATGGGGGGATGAATTACTATTATGGGGGATGAATTAATTACTATATGGGGGATGAATTACTATGGGGGATGAATTACTATAGGGGGGATGAATTACTATATGGGGGATGAATTACTATAGGGGGGGGGATACTATATAGGGGGGATGAATTACTATATGGGGGATGAATTACTATGGGATGGGGGATGAATTACTACTATGGGGGATGATGGTGGATGAGTTACTATGGGGGATGAATTACTATATGGGGGATGTATTTTCAGTTTTAAAAATGTGGCTCTCAAAATAAATTTCAATCGTGGTTTTGGCGAGATTTGGCTCAGTTGAAAAAAAAGGTTGCCCACCACTGGGCTAGACAATGGCACCCTGACTGTCTTTAGGTATCGGGATGAAATCCTTGGACCCATTGTCAGACCCTACGCTGGTGCAGTGGGTCCTGGGTTTCTCCTGGTGCACGACAATGCCCGGGGGTCTCATGTGGTGAAAGTTTGCAGGAAGTTCCCAGAGAATGATGGAATTGATACCATTGAATGGCCACCATGCTCCCCTGATCTAAATCCAATTAAACATCTCTGGGATATCATATTTTGGTCCCACCGATGCCGCCAGGTTGCTCCTCAGACTGTCCAGGAGCTCAGTAATGCCCTGGTCCAGATCTGGGAGGAAATACCCCAGGACACCATCCGTCGTCTCATTAGAAGCATGCCCAAACTTTGTCAGGCATGTATACAAGCATGTGGGGGCCATACAAACTACTGAGTACCATTTTGAGTTGCTGCAATGACATTTCAGCAAAATGGACAAGCCTGCTGCATCATTTTTCACTTTCGATTTTTGGGTGTCTTTGAATTCAGTCCTCTGTAGGCTGATAATTTTCATTTCCATCAAACGATGGGGCATCCTTACATTCCTAACACATTACCCAGTCCATATCAGTATAGATATCCAGCATGAGATTTTTCCCCATTGAGATCTGATGTGTTTTCAAAGTGTTCCTTTCATTTTTTGGAGCAGTGTATATTAGCATTATGATAATGGCAGCACAGGAGGCTGTATATAGGGATCACAGGCTACAGGGGAACGATAATAAAGCTGCTGCTAAAAAAGCTTTTTTGCTTTCACATGATGCATATGCATTTTTGCCACTTTTTTACCACACTTGTGCTGCGTTTTTTACAGGATACGTGACTCAAAAACCACACCAAAAATACAATGTGGGTGTGTTTTTTATGCGTTTTTGCCATTGATTTCAATGGGAGATGCATTTTTGGTGCTTTTTTTCATTGTACCATACCTTCATCAAAAATGCAACAAGCAGGATTTTTAAAAACGCACCAGACCCACAACGCATCAGTGTGAAGAGTTTGATGGGAATACATGGTCACACATTTTTCCTCCGCTTTATTGCAAAAGCGGAAGAAAAACAGATCAGTGCGAATCAGCCTAAATTACTGTAAAACTGATGTCCAGGCACAAAAACTTTAACCTAAATACATTGTTCAATAGCCAGAAGGGATAAAAATCCACTTTGTGTGCGCCAAACATATTTGCAAACCGAGCTATTAGTCCTCTTTCACACGGAGCAGAGTCCGATTGGCTCAGCGGGGATCTACCCACTGACTTCCTGCTGATCAGAGCAGAGCAGGTAGATGACAGATCTGTGTTTGCTCAGTTTTTGGACCAAGCCCACTCTGCTCTATGGGCATCCAGGTGTAAACAGACTCTGTTGTCCATTTACACCTCTATTGTCCACTTACACTTGACTGCTCTTTGATGGAATCCTCATAGATGTATTTGCATGTGAGCATGTGGATGCATATGTGAGTGTATGTATGTGTGTGTATGTTTATGTGTTGGTATGGATGTGAGGGCGTATGTGTATTTGCATGTGAGTGGATGCATGCGAGTGTGTTCATGTGTGGATGCATGGGTTGTGTGAGGGTATAGCTGTGAGGGCATATGGGAATTTGCATGTGAATTGGTGGATGCATATGTGTGTGTGTATGTGTGCACATGTATGTTCATGCGTGGATGAATGGGTTTGTGTGGTTCTTTTTTGAACCATAGGGATCTACATACATACATTCTATGATTTTTTCCCTTTTTTTGCATTTTTGACAGTGGGGATGTTGACCCGTTTTCTTCTTCCCCCATTAGCATCTTGGGTGCACATGACTCCTTGAGGGATCCTCGTTGGATATTCTGGTCCACTCTGGCGCTCAGTGGTTTGGAGGGAGTGATTGTTCTTTTAATGGTTCCAGTCATATTCGTTCATTATTTATGTGGCTTCTAAGTATATATAAAATTCATTTTGAGAGAGTTATTGTATCCCCAGTTTTGCTATGATGTATAATCTGCTTCTTTTGATGATTTATCATGTTGTTTAGATGATATCCGGCCATGGCTCCTGAAGAAGATCTAGACTCTTTTAATCAAAACGCATTGGTGTTGCCACTTGGATAATGTATGAGAATTAGTTTTGAGCCTATGAATTACAATATTTTATTAGGATCAATGTTTTATATATATATATATATATATATATATATATATATATCCAGCATGATATTTCTCCCCATTGAGATTTTTTTTCCCATTGATCATGCTGGAACCACATCCTATGTTAATTGCTTTTTTTTTTTTAGATGTTTAATGTTTGGTTGCTGCAAGTCATTTTGTTTTTGTGGACTGGATCAGAAAGTCAATTTACACCCACTGGTTCATAGGGAAACATAGACCTTCCTATCAGGTCTGCCTGAAAAACTGATAGGTGGACCTGATTTGATTGCCCGTGTGAAAAGAGTCTTACCATGTAAATGAAGGAGTGACATCATCACTGAGCTGTACAAAACATATGCAGAAAGCAGAGCTGTGGGAGGGGCCCAGCAGCTCCATCCACTAAGAAAACTGCAGGAGGGGGTGGATACAAGACCAGTCACCGTACACAAGGAGAGTGAGCAGCAGTGACTGGTCTTTATTACAGGAAGCTCCTGAACAGAAGTGAAGTTTCACACTGGATCAGGGGCAGACTGACCATTTGGAAGCTCAGGCACTGCCCGAGGGCCCGGGGTCAGTAGGGGGCCCCAAGAGATGCCCCTGGTACCTTTTTCATAGGCTTTTTTTGAGTTTGGGCAAGGACACAGGGGCCCCATGATCCCCTATTACCTGGGGACCCCATGAGTTGTCAGTCCGCCCCTGCACTGGATTACTGTACAGATCTGGAACAATTACAAGAAATACACCAAGATTCAAGTAAATATACAAATACCACTTGTAGTTAGACAAGAATTGTTTTTCCAAGCGTCCAGCTTTAACATCTTGGCATTGCGCACACGCAAATATGGGGTGTCTTGTCAGCTGGGCCTTGGTGCCGCATATTTGTGTACCCATTGTAAACAGAAGATGTGCTGAGCGTTCATGCCCTGCATGCTCCCGGCATTTACCGGCACCTCACGGAAAGGTCCCGATCGCTACTTGCAGTTGGGAGCTTTCCAATCATGTGATCGCCAATCATGGCGATCGCATGACCCTAAACTCTGCCCTGCCTCCCGGGGTCACAAATCTCTTAAAGGGCCAGAAGGCTCTGAGGGGTTAATGTTCTTTACTCTGGGCACAAAAAAATACCTATGCAGTGGGCTCCCTGCACTGAGAGTTACATGTTCATTAAGTCTAGAGGGTTGCAGAAAAGGCTGAAATATTTACCTGAGTTTCTGCTCCATCAGGTTGCCTAATTCTGTGCAACAGTCTCCCCTGTAAGCTCCTTAAAGGGTTAACAACTCCACTCTGTATGTGACGATGCTGAGGCATTGCCCATAGACCAAAGCTGTAGGGAGAATGTGGGAGCTGCTTGGAGTGGGGAGTCAGGTAAGCAATGCAGCCCCATCTACAATTCCCCTAAACTTAAGGCACATTTAACCCTTGCAGTGAAGGGGGGCCCACTGCAAGAGTTTATTATTATTATTGTGTATGGAGTTAGGATTTAGATATATTCCTCAAGAACCAAACAATACAAACCCTTTGAGAAAGCACTGTGCCTTGGACCAAACATGTCAGAATAGAACCTGTGCCTGCTGGCTATTTTAACAAGGGAAGAATATTATTTTGAAGGCATTATCTCTGCATGGTTGGATCTAGGGGGTTGCTGCGGTGGGCGGCACACCCCCCTTTAGATTTCAGTCATGCCCCCACAGGACTAATGATGTTGTTATCAGGGTGTGGAGGATCTCAGCTTGGCTGCACAGTGCCTTGTCCCTATCTTTCACAGTGCATCATTCATTTCTATTGTATAGGGGGCAAACCAGGATGCAGAGTATCATTTGTTAATATGGTGATGGTGGCCATCCCATAAAAATAAATTATTTTAATCCAAAGTGGGAATTTAGAAGAGGATGGAAGTCCTGATTTCATGCAGACCTGTCATGCCTCCTGCCATGTTGCAGCTGCATTGTAGATTAGAAGGGAGGACTAAGGACTAAGAACTCTGTTGTGAAGGGGGCTGACTCTGATGTGACGGGGGGCTAATACTGATGTTAATATATGTGGACTCCAATAGGAAGGGGGGAACTCTGACATGATGGGTCGGGCTCTGAAGTGATGGGGAACTCTGACAAAATGCCCTCTTGACCTTTTTTTACTGCCCCCCAGATCAGACAAACAAGATCTAGCCCTACATCCCAGTGTGCAGTATTCCTGTTGTTGTAACGGTTGATTGCTTTGGTGAAGAGGAGCCGAGCCAGCATCTGAGATGTGATTATGGAGTGTGGAGCCTGATCCTATATATAACTTGCCAAGTATTGATGATGTGTCACAATGCCACTAAACATTCACATTTTCTGCCAGTATATAGCACAGCTTTTAGCTTCCCCAAACTTCTGGTCAAGGAGTGCACACCTTAAATTTCCTGATTTCCTTATCAGGACTACTGATCCCAACATTTATAGCACCATTGCTCATGTACTCTGATGCCCGAACACTTCAATACCCCTAGATTATCCACAGCAGTGGCAGCAGCTATACTGTGAGCGCACATGAGAGGGGGGCTCCAGCAGGACTCTGCAAACCAAGGAGCCACAATGAAAGTCAAGGACAGTGATGGGGTCACCTGGTGAAGAAGGCAAATGCAGAAGCAGTAGAGAAAACTCAGCACATGGTAAACACTGCCATCAACATCCTAATTAGAAAAAAATAGTTTAGGACCTACGGTAATATATATATATATATATATACCGTATATATATACACATACACACACACACACACACACACACACACACACACATATATATATATATGTAACACACATATATATATATATATATATATATATATATATATATATACTGTGTGTGTGTATGTATATATATATATATATATATATATATATATATATATACACACAGTCAGGTCCATAAATATTGGAACATCGACACAATTCTAACATTTTTGGCTCTATACACCACCACAATGTATTTGAAATGAAATGAACAAGATGTGCTTTAACTGCAGACTGTCAGCTTTAATTTGAGGGTATTTACATCCAAATTAGGTGAACGGTCTAGGAATTACAACAGTTTGCATATTTGCCTCCCACTTGTTAAGGGACCAAAAGTAATGGGACAGAATAATAATCATAAATCAAACTTTCACTTTTTAATACTTGGTTGCAAATCCTTTGCAGTCAATTGCAGCCTGAAGTCTGGAACACATAGACATCACCAGACGCTGGGTTTCATCCCTGGTGATGCTCTGCCAGGCCTCTACTGCAGCTGTCTTCAGTTCCTGCTTGTTCTTGGGGCATTTTCCCTTCAGTTTTGTCTTCAGCAAGTGAAATGCAAGCTCAATTGGATTCAGGTCAGGTGATTGACTTGGCCATTGCATAAAATTCCACTTCTTTCCCTTAAAAAACTCTTTGGTTGCTTTTGCAGTCTGCTTTGGGTCATTGTCCATCTGCACTGTGAAGCGGCGTCCAATGAGTTCTGAAGCATTTGGCTGAATATGAGCAGATAATATTGCCCGAAACACTTCAAAATTCATCCTGCTGCTTTTGTCAGCAGTCACATCATCAATAAATACAAGAGAAGCAGTTCCATTGGCAGCCATACATGCCCACGCCATGACACTACCACCACCATGCTTCACTGATGAGGTGGTATGCTTAGGATCATGAGCAGTTCCTTTCCTTCTCCATACTCTTCTCTTCCCATCACTCTGGTACAAGTTGATCTTGGTCTCATCTGTCCATAGGATGTTGTTCCAGAACTGTGAAGGCTTTTTTAGATGTCGTTTGGCAAACTCTAATCTGGCCTTCCTGTTTTTGAGGCTCACCAATGGTTTACATCTTGTGGTGAACCCTCTGTATTCACTCTGGTGAATTCTTCTCTTGATTGTTGACTTTGACACACATACACCTACCTCCTGGAGAGTGTTCTTGATCTGGCCAACTGTTGTGAAGGGTTTTTTTCTTCACCAGGGAAAGAATTCTTCAGTCATCCACCACAGTTGTTTTCCGTGGTCTTCCGGGTCTTTTGGTGTTGCTGAGCTCACCGATGCGTTCCTTCTTTTTAAGAATGTTCCAAACAGTTGTTTTGGCCACGCCTAATCTCTCTGATGGGTTTGTTTTGTTTTTTCAACCTAATGATGGCTTGCTTCACTGATAGTGACAGCTCTTTAAATCTCATCTTGAGAGTTGACAGCAACAGATTCCAAATGCAAATAGCACACTTGAAATGAACTCTGGACCTTTTATTTGCTCATTGTAATTGGGATAATGAGGGAATAACACACACCTGGCCATGGAACAGCTGAGAAGCCAATTGTCCCATTACTTTTGGTCCCTTAACAAGTGGGAGGCAAATATGCAAACTGTTGTAATTCCTACACCGTTCACCTGATTTGGATGTAAATACCCTCAAATTAAAGCTGACAGTCTGCAGTTAAAACACATCTTGTTCGTTTCATTTCAAATCCATTGTGGTGGTGTATAGAGTCATAAATGTTAGAATTGTGTCAATGTCCCAATATTTATGGACCTGACTGTGTAATATATATATATATATATATATATATATACACATACACACATTTTTCATTTATTTATTTTGTAAGTGAACAACATTGTTATTTAACATGCAAAATTGACTACCCAATGTATTATCACGTTGTAATCCATCCCATTCTTCAATCATTCACTGACATTTTTACCTTTTTTTATATTTTATGTATAATCTATATTTATTCATTTTAAAAATTTTATGCAGAAAGCAGGACAGAAAAAATGTACAGTGTTGAATATCATATCAAAGCATTATGCCAGCATTATATAAGAAATGGAATGGGATTTATTGTCCCATCTATATTAACACAATGAAATAACATGGATCAATAAAGTAGTTCTTGAAGATTTGCATGTGTTTTTGTTATTATAAGAGGCGCCAACAGAAGACTGTGTATCTTTTTCATAGAGCTGCTGCTTGTTGCCAGTGTAAGCCTAAGAGGGCTCCCTGCAGTATCTCATTTATTCCTTACTCAGTGCAATGACCAGCTATGCCGTGTTCTTTTAGAAGCAACAACTCCATCTTGTGGATGGTTGATTCTGGAATTTAGAAGTACTTTGGAGAGTCTTTCTGCAGCAGTAGCATGCAGGAATTATATCCCGTCCCCTATCTTTATATAGTTCTATAATGCACTTCAATTACATTAGCACAGCCCAGGCCTGGAAAACAAGTCCCCACATTTCAGCTGCTTGCAGCAATAATCTTTCATAGGACAAAACCGCAGGAAAAAGTAGTTATCATTCTAAACTGAACAGCGCTGCTTTTTCAGTTTACACAGGAGACATGCAACAGAATCATGCATGTGACATCAGCCTATATCAGAAACTGGCAGAAGGGTTTTGGCTAGTGATCAGTCTAAGCCTAGTCATATGCAGGATGATTTGAAAGGGATATGATGAAAGTTTGACAAGGGTTTGTTATCAGTGGGGGAGATTCATTAACACTGGTGCACACAAAATTTGGTGCAGCTGTGCATAGTAACCAATCAGCTTCTAATGCAGGCCATACGAATTCTGAATGATTTTTCACCCGAAAATCAGAAACGTCATTCATTCTGTAATCCAATGGTGCCACCAATGATTTAAAAAAAATCGGTCGTTTTTCATGACTAACTGTTTCAGGGAACAATTTTCTAAATTGGAAAATCAGTTTAACC